AACTTAAAATTGTTTCAAGGTGATGAGGCAGACAAAAATATTTCAAGGAAAATGGCGCATTTTCAGCTGCTTTCTAAGGAAGCCGGAATATTTTTATGCGTTTTTGCATCATGTGCAAATGCAAACATTGGCAATCGTACCAGGCCGGCCCGTACGATCATAAGTTTTTTCAGTATTTGGTGCTGTAGTGAGATCACTAGGAATCCCAATAGCTAGAATTTGTGATACACTGGTTCAGGAAGTTGATTGTATTTCCTAGTGAGACCGTAATTACGTGGTACTCGGATAGGGGACATTCTATTAAAATTTCAGATTTATAGCTTCTCTGGCTCCCGAGTTAACTGTCTTTCCGCCAAGACTTTCACGCACCCGCACTCGGAGCCAAACGTGCATAAGAGTTGGTACCGCTGTCCTGAGGTGGCACTTGCCGAAGAACCCACTGGTAAAATTTCAGCGCGGAAGCTTGCTCGACTACCGAGTTGAAATACCCTGGTAGACCCACACGTACACACAAAACGTGCAGACGCACAGTGGAGATTATCATCGAATTTCCTAGGTTGGGAAAGGGTAAAGCATGAAAGGAGGAATGGATTCAAAGACTCACACAAATCACAAACCTCCGCTATGCAAAATTCTTATTGAAAATGTAACTAATGGAATTGTATTTGTGATAATCCGCATGATCAGGAGCGCAGTGGACTGATATGTAACCAGCTGGACGGCGTCTTTTCGTTTGCACTCATATACGACGATGAATTTCTGGCTGCACGTGACCCAATTGGTGTGAAACCATTTTATTTTGGAAGAGATGCAGAAGGACGGCATTTTTTCAGGTTTTTTTGAAACCAGCTTCAGTTTTGTAACATCAGGAATACCAATGAACAATCAGCAATCTACTCCTAGTGAATGCAAAATCATATTGATCATTTTTGATTTTAGTTCAGAAATGAAAACAATTGAAGATATCTGCGGCAATTTTGAGCTCGCTACATTTCCGCCTGGCCATTTCTGGACACCAAGCACTGGCTTTGTGCGCTACTACGCAGTGAGTGATATTTTCGATTAATCAAACAAGGTTTTCACCGCAAATGTTGAAGAGTGACGAGTAAGAAATTGCCAGTGTAGTTATATGTTTTCATAATGCACGTTTATCAACTGCAATGAGTGCGACATCTCAAAACAGAAACAGAACATGAGAGCGAGTGCTTCTATGATTCTGACTGTGGTCACGGTTATTAGACTTCTGGTTTTTATGCCTTTTTGCCGTGCAGCGCTAAAGCGCTGCAACACGCACCAAAAACGCATATTGCAACGACCCTGTCAGTGTGTGTGTGTGTGTGTGTATGTTTGTATATGTCGTGTGTGTTCGTCTGTCCGGGTATTTCAACTCGCTAACCGCGCAAGCTTTGAAGCTGAAATTTTGCGAGTGTTTTCCTCAGCCAGGTACCACCCCAAGGCCGCAGTTTCAACTCTCACGCACATCTGGGCCTCGCGTGCGAGCACGTGAAAGTTTTGGCGCGAAAATCACTAACTCGGGAACGGGAAAAGCTAGAAAGCTGAAACTTTAAGAAAATGTTCCCCACTCATGTATGAGCAAAGTCAGGTGTTTAGAAGCGTCTGAACCCACGTACGAGCGCGTAGAAATTTTGGCGCGAAAATCACCAACCCAGGAACGAAAAAACC